ATGACTATTCACGAAAGACTCAGTCATGAGTCGAACTCAAACCCTATCTAGGATCGAGTCGCGAATAAGGCTAAGAGCCGTGTATTGCAGTACGAGGATTGGGATGTAAATTTAAAATTTAAAATTTAAACTGCTGTCACGGATTCTTTTAGATCATCTTTCGTGTATATTACGCACCCATGTTTGCTGACTAGAGCGATGCGGCCACGGGAATTTTAAAATTCAAACATTTCAGACCGGGGAAACAATGGACGACTTTTTGGCGACACCATAATTGCTCACAAATTTTCCAACATGGCGTCGGTTGTTTCTGACGTCGAGAGTGTTGATGAACCTCCTTTCCTTCGCCAACGTAGAGTATTTGCTCCCAATGAAAGCATCGCCAATGGCAGTCTGAATAGCCAACTGGAGGGTGACCGGTACCGGAATCTTAATCGCCAAAGCGGAATCCCGCCCTTAAAAGATTTAGAGAAAGCTTTCAGTAGTGAAAAAGAGTGCTTTCTGTACTTACGTAAGCATGGGGCTTTAAGTAATATTCCCACTCAGTGCCCTCGATGCAACGAGGATTTTGGGGACATCCAGTTTAAGAAAAGTGGACCGGTACTGCGTTGCAGAAAGCGGGAATGCCGAAGAATACATGGTAAAGAATGGTGCCAGTCCGTATATAAAGGCACCTTCTTTGAAGCAGTCCGGGGTGGAAGGTGTGACATACTAAGATTCTTATACTACTGGCTAACTGGTTCATCGCATCAACAGATCTCTATATATCTCAGCTGGTCCAAAGAAAAGACCACTCACTGGCTTAAGTACGTCCGCGAGTTCATTTCATCCATTGTGACCCACTGTAATGGCCAAATTGGTGGAGTGGACGTGGTTGTGGAAATCGATGAATCCAAATTTGGCAAGCAAAAGTATTACAAAGGTCACAGGGTAGAAGGTTCTTGGGTATTCGGAGGAGTAGAGAACACTCCAGAAACGCGTTGCTTTGCAGTAGTCGTGGACAGAAGGAATGCTGCTACTCTAATTCCTTTAATTAAAAAGTTCATTGCCCCTGGTTCTATCATCCGGAGTGACTGCTGGGGGGCTTATAACAGCATTGAGGATGTTGAAGTGGATGCCGGATTTGGCTACACTGCAAGGTCGGGAACCAGACTGCAATCCTTTTTTGACAGTTTCTCAAATGAGAAAGTAGTTTCTCATTTGAGAAACTAAGTTCTGAAATGAGAAAGTTAGTTTCTCATTTGGTTGAAATGAGAAACTATCTTTTGAAATGAGAAACTATATATGAAACTGCTAGTACATGTGTTGTGATTTCTGCCAGAAATGAGAAACTATTTTATCAAATGAGAAACTAAAACTGTTAGTTTCTCAAATTGAGAAACTAAAAATGAGAAACTAAAACTAAAAATGAGAAACTAAAACTGTTTCAAAAATTTCAAAACATCATGGGGGTTTCCGGACCTTGCTGTTCGAGCATACGAACACCAGACAGTGAACCATGAAGAAGGATATAAGGACCCGGTCACGGGTGTCCACACTAACACCATTGAGGGCACATGGTGGGGTATTAAGAGGGGTGTTCCGGAACGCAATAGAAACAAAAAGCAACTTCAAGGTTACCTTTTTGAGTTTATTTGGAGAAGAGACCACGAGTGCGACCTTTGGAGTTCCTTAATGAGTCCCCTTTCTTCTATCACTTATGGTGATTAGCGAGGCCATAAAAATCGTACTTAACTTCTATAGTGGACAATTTTTTTGTTAGCGATCGGCCTTTTCTTTTGTTTGCTAGCCATATCCAGGACTGGGTGGTACTGTTTGCAACATAGTAAACTTGACTCAACATCTACCATAGTAAATCACTGTATACAGTCGACCGGTTTGCTCACACATTTTACGATCTGGATGGATTGTCAGGTTTCTATATGCAAACCTGAGTCGACAATAATGACCATCTAATTACCAAAGTCCCTAATCTAAATAGATCCTAATTGAGTATTCCGGAGCTGGATATAATAATACTCTGGAATTCTCTGAGACAGGACCAAAAATGGGTTGGGGGGACACTACCAGGAGATACCCGTGGTGGGTGCCGGGGTGCCGAAGTTCTCTTCAAGTGGCATCTTTAACTTATTGCATTATCGTAGAATGACCTGAAGAAAACCACTCTCCATGATTCAAAGTCGCTGAAAGACCTCGAGGAGCAAGAGTGACTTAAGCGATTTCGTTCGTGCCATCATTCGAAAAATTAATGTTCTCACGACTTCAATTTCAAAATTCTTATTGCGCAAACGAAGTCACATGTCACATGGCTCACCATCTGATCGTTGAGTCTGGCTTCCCACTCCCGTCCTGGATTTGCCGTTGGATGTCTTACAAAAGCTCGGAAGACCTGTTTTCGTTGTTCCCATAAAACCAACGAGAACACAACAAGAAAGAACCACAGCAACAACCAACCAACAACAACAGCATGGCCTACCTCCTCAACAACAACGCCGGTGGATCGTACCCAGGCACCAACACCTGCTCCTCTGGACAAACCCAGCAGCCGTATGGATACCAGCCTTCACAGACTTCACAGACATCCTACGGCTATCAGCCCACAACACAGGCAACACAGACATCCTACGGGTATCAGCCTTCGCAGCCATCATCCTATGGATATGTTCCCCAGCAGCAACAGCAGCAACAGTCCTATGTGCCACATCAGCAGCAAACCCAAAGCTACACGCCGTCCGCGCCTTCGTACCAGCCTCAGTCAACCTACACTCCGTCTGCGCCACCCTCCTACTACCAGCAACCATCCTATCAACAACAGCAGCAGCAGCGCCCACCCGCCATGGTATCGAGCGTGACATCCTCCATGACTGCCTCGACAACGAAAAGCCCCAATGAAATTAGCATTGCGGTGATTGGCACAAGACCCAGCGGTGCCCAGACGCGAGTAAATTTGGAAGTGGATCCTTCCGATACCACACTGGGAGACATTACCGAAATGCTTGCCGATGAAATTGGAATTGCGCCACACATGCAACTCATCAAATACAAGAAAAAGAACATGGACAGTCGCACATTGACACTGAAACAACTCAATTTCCCCGATCACAGTGAGTTGGCCGTGTCGCAAAAACCACCCGCGCAAGCTCGTGTCACTCCCGGTGGAAACAACAACAATATGATGATGACCACATCACAACAACAATCATCGCAGCTACCACAAGGAGAATCTTACCAGAGTTTGCGCGCCGAGTTTGACAAGATTGATGTGGACCGCAGTGGCACCATTGATGAAAAGGAACTTTCTCGTGTCTTTTTGGGATGGGCACCCAGGTCACTGATCCGAAAGGCCATGGCCATGGCCGACACGAACCGGGATGGCAAGATTGATTTTGACGAGTATTGTGCCATTCGAAAGCAGTTGGGAGGCGTCAAGGTGCCCAAGAAGGGCGGCAAGAAATAAATATAAGCGCCTCCCAATTCAGCGGATCGTCCATTCATAATAATACTAATAATACTAAAAAGAGCTTATAATATACACATTCTGGGACTGGGATTCGTGGTCAACGCTTCGGTCAGCCCGCACATGGTTGGTGCGCAAACATTCGCACCTTGAAGGACTGTGGAACCCGGTGTCCACCATGAATGAGAGCCCTGAAGGTTCTTTTGGTGTCATTCTCTTACGGGGCGGCATTGATCTCAAGTGGCGCCAGAGGCAGCAGTTATATAGGGTGGAAATCATACAATATCACGATTGATTATTTAGCCATCCTCGCCCTTTTCATAGCAGGCATCTTTCTCTCTAGAGGGGCATCCCGAGCTCGTTTGATGGAAAGGTACAATTCATCATCGTCCAAGGGTACTATCGTCCTACTTTTTGTTGGCTTGTTGGAATACACAGCCAGCACACTGGTCGAGCATGCTGCCAGGACTGCCTCTTCTGCCCACAAGGAGGGCGCCTCGAGCAACAAGATGAACAAAAGATCCACCTGTGGCAACAACCGATGAGCACAGGTCACCTCGTCGGACAGCAACGTGACAAATTTCCTCATGGCGGCAGCCTTGCTTTGGCAATTGGAGTGGAACGCTCGCTGTAGATCTTGCATGGCTTTGCGTCGGGGATTCATGACCAGATAGTTCCCGATTATTTGGCGCCAAATAGAGGTAGTACAAAAGTCCGTCGTGTGGGATCGCACATGGCATTCCACAAGCAAGGGCGATGTTCTGATTTGACTGCAGAATCTGCAACAAGTGGATTTCGTGTTTGGTGGGCTCTACCGTACTATAATAGCCTCATTACCTCGGCGGCGGACAATGGGAAGAGGTCCTCCGATATACCGGAGTCTCAGCATTTGCAGTGCACACCGGTCCTCCTTGAGCAAGTCGAGAATCTCTGATACATATATGCCTCGGGAAACTCCCTGAGCTCGAGTCTCTCCAACTGCAAATAATAATTGTGGCGTAAAAAGGCCACCAATTCCATGGTCGATCCGGCTTGGAAGGTGCATCCTTGGATACTCAGATGCTTTAGTCTGGATTGCTGTCGTGGTGGTGAAACCCCAGGTGACAGCACTGAAGCTGTAACACTCTGGACGCCGCCAACAAGTCCCCCAAGGAGTGAGTGGAGCAACTCATGAGATTCAAGTGCCCCGACCATTTACTATCCTGATCCAGCCATGCGGCAAGCTCCTTCAGCTGCTCCTTTTCCAACTCGATATCGCTTTTGATGACAGACGTCAGCACTCGTTTCAGCCACTCCATACTCCTGATGGTTGGCTCTTCTTGTGCATCCATTATTATGCTTGCAATATCAGTTCCGTACTATCCAGCAGCTAGCTAGTATGGCTCACCAACAACAGCGTGCTAGCTACCGTACCGTACTAGTATCTTGGAGCCTTCGAGGCTGGTGCTTCCGCGCATGCCTTGAGACCTGCATGAACTACAATAGGGTTAACGCTTCGTAACCAGCCGGTACGACCACCGTTAAATCTTGCCAACCGTTGGCAAATGCCGACTGGGTTCCGATCGCAAACAAAAATTTTGGCTCTGAGAGAAGCATAAATTCTCGAAAGTCCACAAGCAAGAAACATCGACCCCACACACTTCTATCAATCAATCCAATCCAACCATGGGCAACTGCCGTTCAAAACAAGAGACTGCCGTAGCCTCCTCGTCGCCACCAGCAGATGCCAAAAAGAGCCATCTCCGTCCTGCCAATACTGCTGCAGTAGCGACTACTACGCTCCCTTCCGACGGTACGGCCGCGTTGATTCAGGCCGTCTTACCCACGGCCATTCCATTGGTCTGTCAAGTGGTCAGTCAACAATTGATTGCCGATCCGGCCACCCTCTTGTTGAAAAACGAAGAACCCCTGACGGAATTTGACAAGAATGCACCTTCGGACGAACAAGTGTTGCGAGATATTCAATTGCACATGACCAGCATTGCCTTGGTCAACGCCGCCACACTTCAAGATGACATGGACCGCATGCCCACATTTGCGTGGCCCTTGGCGACAACGGCACCGGCGCTCATGGCGGAGCACAAAATGACGGTACTGGATATTGTCGACTTTTACGTCAAGGTGTGGTTGGGTAAGGGTATTGAATTTGCCGTTCCCGTGGAAAATCCCTTTGGTATTCCCATGACTTTGGAAGTGGGATGTGGAGGAGATGTCATTGGAGATGATGCCTGGTTTGAATGTACTATTCCCCGACTACGAATTTGGTTGGTGCAGGATCAAGCTGCAACTGCGGAAGACAAAGAAGAAGAAGCTCCATCCGACGAGATGCAGTCGGTGGCAGATTCCACAACAAGCAGCAGCAGCAGTAATAAGAAACAAGTCAAGGCATATGTGGCATTTATTGGACGCCCCAACTTGACGCCACATGTCCACGTCAATGCCGATCGAGGCAAGGGAGATTTCTTTGAAATGGTCTTGGACGAGGCGGGTTCGTTGGATGATGTCGTGGAATCCATCTTGATGGGATTTGGTCCTTCGGAATATTACGAACAAGAGCAACAGCAACAACAACTCGCGTCCAAAGATATGAATAAGAAAGACAACAAGCAACCCAAACAAAGTTGGGTGGGCAATGCCCTGGGCAAAGTAGTGAGCCGTGCCATTGGAAGTTTTGTGGGCGTGGGCAACAATCGGCCGTTGGAAATTGACTTGACGGATGCCGTGACGGATGCCATTGATACTGCCATGGGCAAACCACGACCAGTCGAAGTTGTAGAGGCAGATATGGAACGACTGCAAAAAGAGCTCGAACGATCCAAGCAAGCGGAATTGGACGATGGTGGCAACAAGACAAAACGGAAGGAAAAGAGAGCCAAACATGGCTTTGCAGAGGAGAAAAAGGAAGACGATGCCTTGACAAAAACTTCACTGGCGGACAAGGTGTTGACACCACTGACATCGTGTTGTGGCTAGGCAAACCCAGCTTGTCATTGTTCTTTTTGTTTTAACGGAATTGTAGTAAAGTGCGAAAAGAGAGAGTTGTAAGAATTTAAATATTCAATGGAAAACCAAAGTGTCATTGTCCAACAGTTTGCGTCCAACGATGTCTCCCATGGTCCCTTACAAAATAACACTTTCCTACCCTGGAATTGGGTTCTATTCATAGCTACTTTGAGTACCCATTAGTCGGAAGGAGAATTACTCCGGTGTACCGTTTGTCTAGCTAGCTAGAGAAGACAGCAATAATGCAGCAATGCTTGCTTACTTATTAACTCTCCTCCGAATGCAACGGTTAAAAACTTACTTACTTTCTTGTCTTCCCTCATCAATCCCTTCGGGATTGCCCTCGGTCGCCTTCTCCTTCTGCTGCTCATCATCCATGGTCAAGTGGTTGGTTGTTGGCTATCTCTCAGTCCGGATGGACTGGGGGAGAGCCTCACAACGCTTGAGCTGAGCATGACCCAGAAGGAGATGTGAAGTCTAGGTCAGGATTGAAACCTGAACCTGGACTGAAAGCTTCTTCTGACCACCGGGTGGGCGGGTGTGTTGGGATGCAGGAAAACGAAGGCTTTGTACATCAACTGTTGTTGGTGTACAAAGACAAGAGAATAAGCACTTGTTGAGTGCCCGCCCCCTTGTTA